CACCATCTCTCTCCATCGCTACGCCATCCTGCTCCATCTCGCTCCATTGCTGCTCCATCTCTCTCTGTCGCTCCTGCATGATCTCTCTCCATCGTTGTGCCATCTTTTTCCATCTATCTCCATTTGTGCGTCATCGCTGACCATCGATCGTTCGTCGTCGTTCCAGTCCTCCATTGTATTGTCGTTGTAGTCCACCTTTTGGGTAGCCGCCCATCATTGTCGAATTGTACGGAACAAGCGTCAAGTATGCCGAATGAAGGTTTAACATGATGGATTTAACCTTAATTAAGCAAATTTTGAACTGATCCATGATGCATTATATTTAAATAAACATTAGTTGGGCATTAAATGATGTTGTTTAATAACTAATTTATGGTTAATCTTGAATTACATGATGGTCTTGAATAAGTTAGATCATTGGTTAGGCATGAATATGATTGCGTTGTGAGGTACGTGGATTGGAGTTGCATACGTACAAAAATGCTAAATCATGTTGTTTGATAACGAATCTATGGTTAATCTTTGATTACATGATAGTCTTTAATAAGTAAATTGTTGGTTGCGATTTCGGATCGGTACACTGATATGGCAACCGGATATGCTTAGAGTTGCCTATAAACTAGATAATTGTCAAATATGCTTGCAGTTGTGAGATTCACGGATTAGGCTTGCCTACGTATAAGAATGTTTGTCGGGTATGCCTGGAGTTTCGAAATCGAAATGAGTGTGGTGAACAAGTCCGAGTAAACTCGCTCTTCTTCTTGGCAAAAAAAAAATGAAGTCATTTTCTATATGTGAATTTATTCGCTATTGAACCAACCAGGAATCTAATTTCTTACTGTACTGTGAATAAGTCTGAATCAACTCGCACTGGTACTCTCAGTTTCGAAATCGAAATGCTCATTTTAAGTGTGAATTTATCCGCTCTTGAACCAATCAGGCCTCTAAATTTCTTACTGTATAGTAGATAAGTCTGAATTAGCTCGGATTTGTACTCTTAATCTGGAAATCGAAATACTCGAGTAAACTTGTGCTTCTTCTCGGCCCAAAAAAAGGTAGTCCTTTTCTATGTGCGAATATATTCGCTCTTGAAGCAATCAGGAACTTAATCTCTTACTATATGGTGAATAAGTCCGAATCAACTCGCACTTGTACTCTCGCCGAAATGCTCTCCATACTACATATCCAATGCGCGAGTCTATTTGTTGTTGAACCAACTAGAAATCTATGTAAATTGTATGATGCATAAGTCCATCTCAACTCGCACTTGTGCTCTCCAGCCGTAATCTATGTGCGAGTCTATTCGCTCCTAAATTTTTCGGTACTCTCGCTTCTTCTCGTCGGATAAAAATCTAGACCTTTTGTATGTGCGAATTCATTCGCTCTTGAACCAACCAGGAACTTAATTTCGTCCGAATGAATTCGCACTTCTACGGTCGGGCCAAAAAAATTCACATATGAGAATTTATTCGCTATCGCTCTTGAACAAACCAAGAGCCTGATTTCTTACTGTATGGTGAATAAGTCCGAATCAACTTGCACTTGTACTCTCGCCGAAATGTTGTTTATGGTACGCATTCAATGTGCGAGTCCATTTGTTGTTGAACCAACCAGGAACCAGTTTCCAACTGTATGGTGAATAAGTCTGAATCGACTCGCACATGTACTCTCACTGAAACGCTCTTCATGCTATGCATGCAATGTGCGAGTCTATTTGCTATTTAACAAATCAGGAATCTATTTTCAACTTTATAGGGCATAAGTCCGGGTCAACTCGAACTTGTGATCTCCCCTAGATGCGACGCACTTTTCTATGCGTGAATTTATTCGTTTTTGAACCAACCAGGAACCTTATTTCTTACTGTATGGTGAATAAGTCTGAATCAACTCGCACTTGTACTCTCACCGAAATGATCTTCATGCCACGTATTCAATGTGCGAGTCTATTTGTTGCTGAACCAACCACAAATTTATTTCCAATTGTATGGTGCATAAATCTGAGTCAACTGACACTTGTGATCTTCCCTAAATGCGACGCACCATCCGTCCTCTATGTGTGAGTTTGTTCGCTCTTAAATTTTAGTGTATGGTGAATCGGTGTCTCGAATGACTCGCACTTGTACTTTCGTCGGAATGTAGTACGCCCCTTATTTTATGTGCAAGTCGATTCGTTGTTGAACCATCCACGAACCTGTTTCATATTGCATCGTCAATAAGTTCGAGTCAACTCGCACTTGTGCTCTTGCATAAACATGCGCGACAATCAACGTGCATCAGAGAAAAAGTGTGAGTTCACTCGGACTTATCCAAACCACTTGCACATTAAACTAACTATAAGGAAGAGCAATCCTTCAACTAGCACAGGAGAACAAGAAGGAGAGGAGTAAGACTTGTGAGACCACGTGACCTTTAAATCAGGGTCTGGAAGTGTCACAACGTCCCAGGTTGGTTAAAGAGCGAATAAACTCGCATATACATAGATTACACGAGCCCAAGAAAACGAAATGGATTCAAATAATGTTGTTTTATTGTTTTGTGATAAATATTAAAAATGTGAGTTTACTCCCTCTTGTTTCTTTCCCTGACCTCGTTATATGTTCACGTGATTTTCTTGTGGTACAATTTTCATGTGAATCATCTCTTCAAATGGGTATCCAAACCGTCCCCTATGTCACGCCACCACCATCTCCACGACAACACGGAGAAAACGATGTTTGAGAACGTAGTTCTTGTGACTGTAGCCCGGAAGCTCCATGTGAATGGCCTCGTGATTTGAAAAGGGAGTTCTCGATGTTGAACCCGACAAATCATTCAGGCTCCTTTACGACGTCCAGTCAATGTCATTTTTTTCGTTTTACCGAAGTTCCCGACGGTCAGCGCGTATCTAAAGCGCTAATCCCCGATAGTGAGGGTAATCGGGATGTGCAGCTGATTCCCAGTAGATTGATGTTCGTGGACAAAGATTTTTTTGGTGTGTCCGAAACGACTGGATCAGATCTCGTACGGACAACGGGTCGACTGTGTAAAAGCATTGAAGTTACCCAACCCCTAACATTTGACAATGGTCGCTTATTGGTGGATATAGACTTTTGTGGTACGCCCGATAAAAACGGATCTGATCGGGAACAGTGCGGTACATCCGATAGAAACGGGTATTATCGGGATCACGCAATGAAACGTTCGTGTGAAAGTGCCGAGATAGGTAAGAGAATTGCATGTGAAGCCAGAAAATTTGACTCTCCCTTAGGTTTGTTGAGTTCGCAGATCCACGTGCATGCTCCATCGATGATAGCCACGAGTGCAACGAGAAATTGACAGATTGGTTTTGTGGACACAGATTTTTACGGTTTATCTTAGTCCTCCCAATCTGATTTGCTGAGGACCGCTCCCACGGACAGATCTGATTTTATAGATGCAGCGAAGCGGTCCCCGACTACGACTCTTCTTGGAACTCCCGAAGCAATTGGTCAGGTTTTGTCTCATCCCCTACGTGGAGAAAGGAGAAGATATAATCGAAAAAATAGGCTGGTTAGAAAGTCAGAACATTCGAAGAGGGTCAAATGTCGATTGAATGAAACTAAGATTGCGTTCGTCCCAACTCACAAATGTTGTAAGAACAAGTGTCTTCGGGTCTTAACCATTGATGATATAAAACTGGTGCGCAAAACTTATTATGAAATGTCCCTCGAAAGGAGGATCGAGTGGTGGATGCAAACCCTTGCCAATCATTTCACTATCCTCGACGGTGGTCTGGAAAGAGTTGAACCAGTGCAGTGCAAGCGTCATGTGTGCATCGCCGGTTGGTGTAAAATAATAGGGATATGCCGTAACACATACCATCATTATAACAAGTACAAGTTGGACGGGTTCGTCCGTGGCCAACATGGTCGATGGGGATTGTTGAACCAAAGACCGGAGTATGTGACCATGCTGGCTCGTGTGACAAGGTTCGTGGAAGAACATTAAGATGCTATGCCTAACGCAATGGTTGTGAGGGGGACGTCATAGAGAGTTAAAGTCAGATTCCCTGGTTATTTTACGAAGCTCCTTGTCTACGAGTCCATCAAGGCGGACTTGGAAGTAGCGGGTCAGACCATCGTTTTGGAGCACGTTTTCTACTCCATATGGAGTATGGAGGAAGTACTTGTTGCAAGCCGACCTTGCCAAGTCCAACTCGTTCACAAAGAATGGCGAGTGCGTCCGCCTTAGACGGACCAGAGATAACGCCCTTTGCCTTTGTGACAGTAAGGATTTCGATGAAAAGCATCGAAACACCAACTGGATCAGGTCGTTCACCGTACGGATTACGCTGACTGGAAACTTCGTTCCATTTTGAACCCCGCGGAATACCTTTGTTTTATAGTGAATGGAATGGATCAGAAAAAGACAATCATTCCTTACATCGACATGTATAAATACTCTCGGGATCATCAACACGACATGATGATGAAAACGAACCTTACAGCATTTATAGCTCACGGCAGGAAAACGTTCATTTATGTTTACACGTATTTGTTTTTCTATGCGCACGGTTCCGATGGTACCATGACGTGCGGACTCTATGTGAGTTGCAAGCGGCGAGACAAAAATGATCGCGCCACCTCCAAATCCAAGCAGACAACTGCTGGAGGGAAAACAAAAACCAATACCTTATGTGCTTCGCCTCACTTTTGGTGAAATTCGGGAGTTTCGAAGAGGTAGAAGTGGTGTTCATGCTCGTTGACCAGACACATACCGACATAGACGCGACTTTTAGTGTTTTCTCGAAAAAGTTGAAGGACAACGATGCTTACACCATGAAGCAGTTGTTCTCGCTTATCGAGTCGTCACACAAGATACGTCGAAGTGCACCGAGCTCGATCACATTGCCGATTGGCGCCGAGTAGTGGATCAATACGTCGGCAAAAGCATCGTCGGCGTGTCGAAACCGCATCTCTTCAAATTCTTTATGTGGGACGGTAATCTCGTCATGGTGTACAAAAAGTCCTGCACCGATGCGGAATGGATGCTAGAAGGAATACCAGTTCACTGGTTCCCGGTTGTTGATGGAGAGTATGCAGGCCCTACCTCCCCTCCATAACCATATGTTATTTCCCGTGTCGTTAAAGAGGATTTTCGGATGGCTTGTGACAGTGTTCAAAAATTCTTGGACGTCCTCGAACAACATAGACACATGTGGCTGACATATCGGAAGGAGGAGGTCGACAAGCGGGAGAATGCTTTGTCTTACTGGAAACTCATTTTCGTCAAGGCGGACGATATGATGCAAGAGCAAAAGAAGAAGGAGACGAAAAAGGGGAAGGAAGAGAATGTCCTCGGGGCGGACGAGCTCGAGATCTACCCTCACATCTTCTGGCCACAATCAGTCGAAACTGTGGTCGAAGTTCAAGATATCAACCCTCCTTTGCTGGACTCTGAGGCTTCGCTTATATATGTAGGACCGAGAGGGGGCCGTCCAAAAGTGAACTTTGACCCTCGACGTCATACAAACAAAGGTGATTTTGTGATTGTTAGGCCACCCGATGAGGAACTGTCTCAAGGTGTCCCATTTTGGGTAGGTGGAGCATAGTCTGAGGTTGTCGACGACCGTTTCTGTCCTAATTTTGGTTGTTTATGTATACAGTGGTGGGTGCCTACATGTCACTCGTCTTATCTTCGCGAAAGGTACTCCGACGCTTGGATGAAGAGGTGGAAATTTTCCACTTCAGACGAGGAACAATGGCAACATGCCGAAACCGTGGCTTATTCCTGGAGAAGACCCTTCCATAAGGAACGGATGAAAGCAAATTCGTGACAGGCTTTACAATACCGACATCCGTCTGCGAGAAAGCAGTTGTGGCCCTGGGGGACGACCGTCTTTCTGGTCCGTCTGACGTGCCCATTTAGTTAAATGTGAACTGATTCGGATTTGTTAGCTACGAACTCCATAAAGATAATGACGAAACGTTAACTGCGAACTAATTCTGATTTCTTGTCCTGTAGGATGGATGAGGACGATGCACCATCGTGCGACGTTGTATACGAGACAATGTCCTACGAAACCTCATCTTACGTGAGCGAGTATTCCTTTTCGATCGAGAATGTGGACAGTGATCTTATCATCATAAACAAACATATTTGGGCACGAGGTTTGGTCAGTCTTGAAACCGATTATCAGCATATTGAAGTTGGGTCAGCCTCGACGGTTACATTGAACCCGAAACATGTGTTATTGATGAACAAACTACAATAGTTCACGATAAAGGGTCAAATATGTGGTCCCTCTACTGGAGTTTAGAAGAGGTCCAACTTTGGGAAGTTCTATCCAGTCAGGAGGAGAAGATCGATGTCGAGGATATGGTAGATACATGGGACTCATTGCGCTTAGAACAAGACTGAGATTGTGTGGACGACCAACATGCTAAACTTTGCACTTGATACTGCATCAGGAAGCCACAGTTGCTTTTCTCTGTGATCATAAACTACCATGGACGGGTTCGTTTGTTCAACCGTGGTACCCTTATACTAACTCTTTTCACGGCGGCCAAGCTTGATGGTAAGCGAATGAGAGTTTTCTTTCTTATGAGGGAAGACTTTCGCGAGCCCACGTCCACGAGTGCTCTGAAGCGCTTTCGTGATCGATTTGAAATAGATCCTTCAGTCGCAAAAGAAATGAATCTAAGGGTTGACTGTTTGGTGCATGTCCAACTTCACTTCCGTTTCGGATTATGTGAGGAGATATTCTTCATGTTGGAAAACAAGGACAACTACAATGAGTACACTCTACGAAAAGTTTCGTATCACCGTTCGGGTGTCCAAACATTGGAATTTGTAGGTGGTAGGCGGAGACAAATCTATGATTGTCCTTACTTTGACGATAGACACTATTCGCCCCGACATGCTATGTGAGCCTTCCTATTTAGAGATATCGACGACTCCGAGTTAGTTCGTACTTTGCTGTTGTACTCTTAGGAAAACCTCGTGGTTTATCGATGACCTCGTTGTTCACATTAGTCTGAGTTAACTCGTCATTGTTGTCACTGTTTCCACCTCGAGGGTTTACTATTTTCTCTTTTTCTGCCCTTCACACAATTGGGAGTACGGACACTCTATAACGAAGTGCGAATCTATTCTCAGTTATCGGACCCCAGTAGGCCGTTTCATTCTTCCTTTTAGTAGATGTGTGAGACTTCACTTCATTATGAACTGACATAAGTGGGAGTATACTTGTAGTTGCCATTCCCGCTAGACTCATTGTGCGTCATTGCTTACATGGTACCTCGTTCTTCCTCACATAATGCAGGATGAAGTCTAACCCCAGCTCGGCCTGCGCAAGTACTTCCTGCTCATCTCACGGCGCCGTTTCTCCAAACCGGATTCCCGATCTCGCAATTCACGTCGTTATTGTCATGTGCAGTGCTCACCCTCATTTCCTTTACTTGATATGTCATTTTTCGCATAGTCCCCCCGCATGTGTCGCGTGCTTCACACACTCGCATCATCTCTAACATGACATTTATTGCTTCGACACGTAATGCAGGATGAACTCCAACCAGACTTCAACTGTTTGCACTCCGTGTCACCCAAGCAAGTCGAGTAACTGTTCCTCTGCACACGACGTCTCACAGTCTCCCGAACATGTTCTCATTATTTTGAACAAAAATATATGGGAGAACCATCTCGTGAGCATTGACCATAAATATTTGCACATTGAAAGCGGTGTTGTGCTGGACGGGGAAATCTCCATGCGTTCAACCTATGACAATGACGGACAAATTGTGGTCGCTTCGGATAACGGGTCGAACTTCTGGTACCTGTACTCGCTGCAGAAAGAGGTTGAGGTCGATCCTGACGGCGGCGAGGAGGATGATAACGAGCCAGAGGACGTTGTTGCTCCAACGGAGATGATTAACACTTGGAACACCCTTTGCACCATCCTACGATGACCAACCCAAGACAGGAGCCACGTAAAGCTATATGCATGGTTTTGTCTTGGAAAACCGGAGTTGTAGACCCCAGTCATCGTTGACTACTATGGTCGAATTCAGATGTTGAATCGCAACACTACCGTTACGACGCTTTTTACGATCTTCAAGGTCGATGGTCGAAAAAATGAAAGCTCATTTCGTTGTAAGGGAGGAGTACCGAGGTGTCACCCTCAATCACGCGGAAGCGTTTCACAGGCCGACTCTTGCTGGTGCTCTAGGGCGATTCTGAACTCGACTATCCTTAGAGGCGACTCTTAGAAAGGAGCTCAAGTTAATCGTCGACTGTTTGGTACATAGTCAGTTGCACTACCTTTTCGATAATTGCGATGATATATTATGGATATTCGAATATAGGGATCACAACGTGGAGGTTGTTTTCCACAAAGATGACTATCACCGATCGGGTACTAAGAAGGTGGAAGTGCTCCCTTATACTTTGACAAAAATATATGATTGTCCTTACTATGAAGACAAACATCCCTAGTAGGCATTTCCACTGTTCCTTTGAGAAGGTGTGTCCTTGCATAATTGGGAGTGACTGTATACTCGCAATTGCCATTCCTGCTAGACTGCGTGGGTGTCATCGCTAACATGCCACCTCGTGCTACCTCACATCATGCAGGATGAACTCCAACCAAACCTTCATCCCTGGTAGGCCTTTCTACTGTTCCATTGAGAACGGGAGTTCGTTTTCACTTCTCTTGTACCTTGCACAATCGGGAATACGACCACCCTGTCACGAAGTGCGAATCTATTCTCCGTTATCAGACATCCAATAGGCCACTTCATTGTTCCGTTCAATAGATGTGTGAGACTTCTCTTCATAATGAACTGGCATAAGTGGGAGTATACTCGCAGTTGCCAGTCCTGCTAGACTCGCTGTGTGTCATCGCTAACACGCTACCTCGTGCTTCCTCACGTAATGCAGGATGAACTCAAACCAGACATCGGCCCACGCAAGCGCTTTCAGCTCGTCTCACGGCGGCGTCTCTCCAGACTGGATTCCCGATCTCGGTCTCTTCATTTTGGACAAGAATATATGGGAGTATGAGTGAGTGAACTATTCACTCCAATATCTGAACATCGATTCGGAATCGGATGTTGCACCGGAGGTGCAAGTTTCCGTGATATTTAGAATGGGCACCACCGCGGATGACCTTGTGGTCAATAGAGATATGGGTTGGAACTTCTCGTACTTGTACTCCTTGGAAGACGAAATTGAAGTAGAGCCCATCAGCGAGGACGGAGATCTGGAACCTGCCATTCCTGAAGAGATGACGAACGCGTGGCGTGTCCTCTGTGCAAAGCATAGATGGTCAACTACCGACAGGGGGCACGTAAAGCTATGTGCCTAGTTTTGCATGGGACAACCGGTTGTGTCTGCACCGGTCATCATAGATTATTACGGTCGCATTCGGATATTGAACCGAACCACGACGGTCGTGACGCTGTTCACGACCGTGAAGGTTGACGGTCAAAACATGAAAGTGTTTTTCATTGCAACGGAGGAATTCCGAGGAGGAACCCCCAATTCTCTGCAAGCGTTTCGCAGCACCACGGTCGAGGGTGTGCTCGGACGCTTCAGAGATCGGTTATCACAAGATGCGACATTAAGGAAGGAGTTGAACTTCAGAGTCGACTATTTGGTGCACTCTCAGTTGCACTACTTTTTCGATAACTGTGGCAAAATTTCCTTGAGAGTGGAACATAGGGACCACAACTTAAAGGCTATTTTTCGAGAGGAGGAGCACCGTCTGTCGAGTACGAAAGAAGTTATGTTTGTCGACGACCGGCAGCATGATGTATATTATTGTCCGTACTGTCGCAACGGGCATCCTGAATATCTATAAGGAAAATGGTAGTCTGACTGTTTCACATGAATGACGTGTTCGAAATGAGTCGAGATTAAGCAGCGGTTATAGAACTTGCGCTCTCTTGCGAAGTGCGAATCTATTCCCACTTATTGAACCACATGAATGTCGTGGGGAAAATATGTCGATATTAAGCGGCGGTTACGGACGGAAGCGTGATGTATATGATTGTCCGTACTGTCGCAACGGACATATTGGATATTTGTAAGGAAAGTGGTCCTCAATAGGACAGTACTCTGACCGTTCCACATCAATGACGTGTTGGAAATGAGTCGAGATTAAGAGGCGATTGCAGAATTTGCGCTCTCTTGCGAAGTGCGAATCTATTCTCACTTATCAAACCACATGAATGACGTGTGAAAAATAAGTGGAGATTGGGCGGCGATTATAGAATTTGCACTCTCTTGCGAAGTGTGAATCTATTCCTAGTTATCGAACGCTTTTGTGCATCCGACAAGATCGTGTATTTGTTTTTTATGCACTCGTTTTTTTTTTTATGCACTTGGAGAATCTCAACTAACACACTTCTTTGCATTGCTCCGCTCATGTAGAATGGATGGCGATACTTCGTCTCAGAGTAGAAACTCCTCAACGCCAGACACCGATCTCATCATTTTGTCAAAAAATATTTGGGAAGACATTGAGCGTTCTGGTGTGCACCGTGACTACATGCACCTCGAAAATGAGGTTGCCAACGACGGGAAAATCCCTTCGTG